TATATTTAATAATAAAATTAATCTTTAAAAAATATTAAAACTTCGAGATATATAAAGTAAATCTATATTCGCTAAGTCTCTAGATATATAGAATATATTATTAAAACTAGATTTTAAAAGAGACTCTAATATAATATATACGATGTCGAAGCCTTAGCGTAAGTAACGTTAAGGTCTATAATAGTATTAGATCTAATAAATTCTTAGAATAATTAATTCGAATAATTTATAAATATTTATTTTTATAAAAATTATAAGAGAGTCTAATTAATAACTCTAACTTTATTCTTAATAATCTATAACTTTATATAAGTAAATATCGTCTTTACTCGCTAGAATAATAATAATCTTAATAACGCTTTTATTTAGAATAATATTAAAATTATATCTAGCGATAATAATAATAAAGAGAATTATAAGAAATCTATATCGAATATTATATTATTATTATAAATTAAAGAAATTAAAGATATATAAAAATTTTAAATAGAGAAAGAAGTTTTTATTAACTTCTTAGAGAATATAAATAATAATAGAGATTTAGAATTAAATAATCTAAATATATATTAAATTAAATTAAAATCTTCGCTAGATCTTCGCGAAGCTAGAGAAACTCTTAATATTTTAAATAATAAGAAAATAATAAATTAAGAGATAATACTTAAGATTAATATTTAATAACTTATTATATTTATATCTATCTTTAATTCTTTTAATTATATTAAATAATATCTTATATCTTAGATTATTATTTTTATATAATAATTTTATATTAAGAAGCTAGATTATAATCTCTATAAGTTCTATAATAATTTCGATATAAAGAATAAGACTAAACTTATAAATATTATAATTAAACTTTTTATCTATTAAAAAGTTATTTATAGATTAAATATCTATAAATAAAAGTAAGCTATTATTAAGAAAATTATTATTTTAATTATTAAAGAGATTTAAAAGCTCGCTATTCTATCGATTAATAGACGTCTAATTATATATAAATAAGTTTTTAAGATTAAATATAATAATAATAAAACTATTAATAATTTAAGATTAGATTTATTATTAGAGAGTTTATATAAATAGAAAATATTAACTTTTATAAGATCTTTATCTCTATTTTATAATTTAACTCTCTATATCTATTTCTATTATATATAATAATAATAAATCTTTTAATAGAATAAATAAACGTTAATAATACTTATTTTAATAACGATCTTTATAAAAAAATCTATATAATTTTATTATTAGATTATCTATTAGTAACTAATACTAAGAATAAAATATTACTTCTTTAAAAAGAATTATATAATCTTAAGTAATTAGCTTATATTTAGAATAAGAAATTTAAGTATATTATTAAAAAAATAAGATTTATAGCTATTATAGCTAATAGCTATATTTTTATTCGAGTATTACTAAAGAAAATAGCTATTATAATACTCTATATAAATAATATTCTTATTAAAATTAAGCTATAAAGCATTATAGATTATATTAAATATTAAATTTATAAAGAATTTAAGATTATTAAAATAAATCTAATTAATTATATTCTTAATATTTAAATCTATTATAATTAAAAATCTTATATCTTAACTATTAAATAAGTATAATATATTAAAAAGATATTTAAGAAATATTTAATAAATTAGATAACTCTTATTTTTATTTTTATTAATAAATATAAATTAATCTAATTAAGTCGATTAAAGAAAGAATATATAAATTAATTATAATATTAGAAGCGAATAGAAAGTCTTATATTTCTTATAATTAATATATAAATTAATTTAACCTTCGTTATAAAAAAGCTTAATTAATTTAGCTATAATCTTATTATCCGCTATATAAATATAATAAATCGAGTATTTAAGTATATATAAAGTATTATATTCTTAGAACTATACTATTAAGAAATAGAAATATTAAAAGAATTCGCGAATTTAGTATATAATAATAATTAAGAGAATTATAAGTCTATTTATAAATTCGCTTTATTATATAAATAAGTAATATATATATAATATAGTCGAAAATAATAAGAGATTATTATATTTATAATAGAAGCTAAGTATATAGTCTTAATAGAAGAAGATAAAACTATTATATAGACTATATAATAGTTATAAGAGATTCGTTTTTAAGTATTAAATAAAGGTTTTATAATATTACTTAGTAATAATAAGAAGATTATTAATCTTATAAAGAATCTCGAGTATTATTAAAAAATTAAATATATCGATATTTATATTTAATATTATTATATTTATTAATTAATTAAAAATAAGATAATTATAATAAATTATATATTTATAGTCTAAATAATAATAAATATTCTTATTAAATTATTTAATAAGAAGCTATTTAAATAATATAGAGAGCTATTAAAAATATATAGCTATTTAATTAATTAGAAGATCGCTATTAAGAAAATTCGATACTATATAAAATTTAAATCTACTTTTTTAAAATAATCTTACTATATATAAAGATTACTATATATTCTAGAAGAATAAATTAAAAAGCTATATTAAAAGTTTATATTATTTTTCTACTTTTTCTACTTTCTCTATAAAGATTTTTTCGAAGAGTAATATTAATTATTTATTTTATTATCTCTATCTTTCTAATAGTTAAATAAAAAGAGAGTATTAATTTTAATAACTTATAATTATTAATTATAATTTATAGTTATTAATTATAATATAACTAAGAATTATAATTATATAATTATAAATAAATATAATTATAAGTAATATAGTTATTAATAATAACTATATAGTTATAAATAATAGTTATATAATTATAATTATAATATACTAGAGTAATTAATTTATTTAACGTATATATAAAACTAATATATCTAGAAGATTAAAATATAACTTTTAAAATAATTCGATTTATTATAGATTATAAATCGAAATTAAATAACTTAAAGAGACGAATCTCTAGTAATTTAATAAGCGACTTTTTATATTTATATTAGACTTATATCTACTTATATGAAGTTCTTTTCTTATATTCTATCTATCTATGTATACGATCTATTTACATAGCATTCATATTCATATATAGCCCTAGCCCTAATTGTATTGGGCATAGCCTACCATATTACCAACAAATACACGACTCTGACGCTAGTCCCAATATGGCCTTGCGCATGAACTCTGCACGTAAAAGAAGTCATGCACAGAGGACACCCCGATTCCCCTAAGGCAACTGTGCCGCTTGCGTTATGGGACTTGAGTATTCTCCACTTCCTTCTCAGTACGACTTTCAGACTTCAAAGTTTGCGCCAGCCCAAATCTCCCCCTATGCATGACCTATGAGCACTTCTCTTACGTGAGAACAGCTGTTGAGATTTGCTGCAGCACCTGTGTTGTAGCTACACCTCATGGTGGCAATCGGGTGGCAAACTAGCATGGGCTTCACATGGTATATAAGTAGCCTACAGACCATTCCATAGTTAATCAATCAATCTTTCATGGGCAAATTACCGAATCATACCCCGAAAGTACGAATCCTTACCGAATCATACCCCTAATTACTGAATCATACCCCCACACCAAATCACACCCAAATATGGGGTATGATTTGGTAAGTTATCGAAGTGGCCTCAAACTACGAAGGAGATAATCCGCGATCTGACTTATTCGAGAAATAAGGGAGTTTCTCCGACCGCATTTGATGAGAATTCTATCAGCCTAAAACCATCAGACGAAAAAGCCGAGTGGGCGAAATTTCGAGCCCGAGGGTATCCGCACTTCACGCTGCAGACACCTATTCGGGTCCCGTAGGCCCCGTAAGGCCCCGTAGGGCCCCCGAAGGAATAATTTTTATTACGCTACGCAACGGGGCGGGGTAGACTTCGGGGGTTAAATCCCGCCCCGAACCCCGCCCTGAACCCCGCCCCGTTACGCAGCGCAAATATTATCGTCATCAATAATCAAGTCGACGACTACTACCAAACCCCCAAAAAACCAAAACCAACAATTAAATTTTTTAAAACCCCTTTCCCAATTTCAAAAAAAATAATTTTAAAAAATCAAAAAAAAAAAAACCCAAAAAAAAAAAAAAAAAAAAAAAAAAACCAAAAAATTGGGGTTTTTTTTGGGGGAGAAAAAAAAAAAAAAAAAAAAAAAAAAATAAAAAAAAAAAAAAAAAAATATAAAAAAAAAAAAAAAAAAAAAAAAAAAAAAAAAAAAAAAAAAAAAAAAAAAACCAACCCCCACCAAAAAAAAAAAAAAAAAAAAAAACCCCCCCCCCAAAAAAAACCCCCCCCCCCCCACACTCTCGTTTCCACGTCGATTGGAAAGGTCTACCCGGAAACACTGTCTTTCATGACCAGGACTGCTTCAGGAGGAGCATCAAATGGTGGAAAAACCCACCTCAGGGATAGTATCTTTGTCTATTCTCCTACTCAATAACAACGACCGGACACCAAAGAAAACTCCCACGGTCGGCATCGATCCCCCAAACCCAAAGCTCAAGTCTCGTCAAGGAACATTCCATGTATGATGATACTAAAGCGCGGTCTTCAAGAGCTGTTGCGCTGCAGATGACTTCAACGGTGGCGACCATCACAACCGTGAGCACTGGTCATCATGGCAAAGATGATTATCTCTATGTCAAACGCAACGAGGAGCAAAAGTGGGCCGTTGAACATCGTCTTCCCACGGGGCTCCCGTGCAAGAGCTACCATCTCCACTGATTTTAATCCCGAAATACGAAACCCTCGCTCCACTGATACAAAGGACTTTTTTTGTGAAATATTTCAAGGACAGGTACCGGAATGGGTAATGATGTTGACACTTGATCTATACATTCTGTCCAAGCATGGAAGCCGAAAGACTTCGCTACTGTACACAACAGTAGTCGACGCGCTTTTGACTCCTGTACACCTCAGTTCTATAAACGCCCAATCCTGCAATGCAGACGTTCCTCATCATCAGACACAGTGTCCTGGATCTTCAAACTACCTAGGTTCAAGCGGCCTACTTTTCGTCTTCACCTCCCTTGGCTTTTAAAACGCCCAAATCAATCAGCCTCTCCCAAATGCCGTCCTTCCTGCCCACCATCTCTCTGTCTACTTCCAGTCCATCTAGTCTCTCCAGAGTCTTGCAGCCATTGATGACCAGCATTTCATAAACCCTTCTCCTCAACTTCGTGTCCTCATCCAATCTTTCACGTGAGAGGTTGTCGGCTGCCTTATCCACAGCTGGCAGGAGGTACGCTACCGTGTTTTGGAAATCAGACCCAACCTCATCGTTGCTTGCTATCGAGTTGCGACCATGAGGCACGACACGCTTCTCCTCCCGTGCAGGTTCCTGTGGCGTGTAGAAGCCCACGGTCAAGGGGTTATTTCGCAGATCAACCTCGAGTAAGCCTTTTCCTACCCGATCAAGTACAGCTGCTGTTCGCCGCAATCTAGAGATACGATTGCCTGCGACGAGCAGCTTCTCTAATTTGACTATCCCGAGCAAGGGACGCAAATCACGGATGGCATTGTAATTGCCGTTGAGAATGCGAACATTGGGGCACTGTAGACCGAAATCTGGAGGAAAGCTCTGCAAGCCTGTTGAAGCAAGCTCCAGGTGGTGTAGGTTGAGGAACGGCGTCGATGGGGCGAATTCTGGGAGGGGATTGCCGGAGAGAAATAAGTTGCGGACTTCATAACAGTCGTTGTATTGGATTTCTAATAGGCTAGAAGCAGGCGTGAGTGTTTGTTCGCGCCATGACAGGGTCTCTAGTTGCTTTAAGCAATTAAGATCCTCAATCTGCGCAATGGAATTCTTGTCAATGTTGAGGATTTTGAGCTTTGGCATAGCTGCCACTTCAAGAAATGAGAGGCAATTGTTGGATATATTGAGAGTCTCCAAGTTGGAGAGAGGCTTGGACCGGGAAATGTCCAATATCTCAAGGTCGTTGTAGCCTAACACTCTTAGATATGACCTTTTACAACAAGCAAATGACTCTAGAGAACTTACTGAGATCGCAAGTCTTCAGGCTTGCTAGCTGATCTAGATTCGATGCTTGAATAAGCTCGTTGTCACGCAGATCAAGATCAGCAAGCCGCTGACTGTGCTCCGTTAGCGAGGGCAATGCCGGAGTTGCTAGGAACGTACAGATTGAAGTTGTCAAGGTCAACAGCTCGCAGCTTGTTACCTCTCAGGCTTAGGCTTATCAGACCGTCCAGGTCCTCGAGACCGTTCAAACTTCGGATTTCGTTGTAGTCTGCTTTCAAAGCTCGCAAGTGGACAAGGCTATGGAAGCCCTGTACACTCTGAAGATTATTCCCTGAAACGTCCATGTACTGAAGATTGTATAGGGAGTTCCACGCTGCAAGGTCCGATAAGCAATTCTCCTGGATGTTCAGTCGCCGAACAGTACTGGGAATGCCATTCAACTCCCCGATCTGATTGTTCGAAACATCGAGCTCCTCAATTCCTCCACAGAACTCATCAAGCATGTGCAGAGTTTTCAACTCTCGGTCATGTAAGTCGACACTGCGTATGTAATCCCAGTATGGCTCATAAGGTTCCAAGTCTGTAAGATTCTTGACCAGATCTTGGGCAGCGAGCGACAATATGTTGTCGGCCTGGTATGTCCGAGACTGCTTTGGTCTCCTCGTCACTTGACCAAGGTCACTGTCAAGAGGCTTGTCGATCTGATGTACGGTGAAGTCAGGTAGTGGACTCAGGTGAAAGCTTACGCTAGACCGGTTGCCTGTCGTTGGCGGCACCATCAAGCTCCTTGACATCGGCAGAGGGGTTGATACTGCTACTTCCAGAGTCATAGGATGGCCTTGATTTGAGTATTGAACCAACGACAACTCATCTTGTTCATCAAGGCGAGACATTGGGCGGGCATGATAGGACTGGTTGCTAAATGACATTCGACGCGAAGTACCGCGTCGGCCTGACTTTTGCACTACACCAAAAGATGTGCGCCTGCTGTTGGACCTCGATGGCTGATAAGCTGAGCGGATGGGTGATTCTTCTGGATCAAATTCACTCTGTCCTTCCCAGAGGTCGAGGTCATCGTCATCATTCTCGTGCGCTGGTTCTCTCTGATCTACTAATGGCGAAGAAAAGGCGACCGTGACCACACGTGCCTGGCGATGTTTGCCACTTTGGTGTTTAGGAACCCGGGATTCACGGCCCTCGAGAATACTGATCTCGTGTTCGACTTCTGCTTCGTGCTGATCACTAGGGTCTGTAGAGAACACTGGTGGAGTCTCTTTAGGCGGTAAAGCCTCCTCAACCCAGGACGTAGCTCGTGTACCGGACTGAGGACCGCTCCAAGCAGATTGAGAGCATTTCGAAGGCGCTGAGCGGTCTTCGACGGTCTCTAACATTTTGCCATCTGCAGTTCTCGGTCTCGCCTCTCCAACTGCTTCAGAGATATCTAATACCTTAGCGATAGCTTCGCATATTATTGCTTGGTCGTGACTGGAATCTTTATTCACTGCTGAGCCTGAGGATTTAACAGACGATATTGATTCCTTGACTCGTTTCAACTCCTCCATCTCATCCACACTTAAGTCGGGTATATCACCAAAGAGGTCCTCCTCAGTCCCATCGCTCACAGTACGATCGTGAATCTCATCATTGTCGACGTTGGCTGAACCTTTGCGCTTAACCCACAATTGCTTCTGACGATCAAACACCATGCCCGCCATCTGGTCTGACAGGAGATGAGCGACGGTCTGAGGGGCAATCACCAACCTGTTCGTAGAGCTGTGGGATGATCCGGTGGGATTAGAGCGACTGGTCGATGGACCTGAACTTGAGTGAAATTCTTTGGACTGGATCTGTCTTTCCGATCCCAAAATCGACAGTTCATGTGTTGAAGGCGAATGCTTGCGCTTGTGAGATTGGACATTATTCTCGCGTATGCGAACGTTTGGTGGGTCACTTTCTGTGCCGCCATGAGGGTCACCCCCCTCATGTGCAGGTGCAGAACACTCTGATGTCTTCCCGGACTGACCGATCTGCAGCGTTTTTAGCGATGAAGAAAGTGCAAGGCCCAAGGTTTCTTGTTCCTCAAATTTGCGAAGATGGCTGATCACCCTCGCATCCGTCTGCGCAGGAATCCTCAACCGTGGAGGACTATGTCCCTCTCGGCTAGGTGGCCTTGAGAACTCATCTTTGGTGGAGTCTTCCACAACAGATTCCTCAGCAATTGTTGGCTGGCCTACTTCCGACGCATCTGCAGTAGTGTGACTGCTTCGTGGGCGTCCTTGGTTACGGATTAGCTGCATGATCTGTTGAGCTTCGTTGAAGAAATCTGCTGTCGTGACAGAAGCTTTGCGGGATCCATAAGTGATATCTTGCACTGTGTTGAGAGCGATAGTAGCTAAAGCTCCAGCCACGATTTGTGTAGGAGGATCTATGGCAGAGGCGGCATCCTGGTTGTGCACTGGGACTGGAGACGGCTGAGGTGGGAGGCCAGATATTCTTGAGGTGGTCTGCTGCACTGGAGAGCTCACCGGACTCGAGGCTGGCAGTTTGGGCTGTCGTATATGGCGCATGGCAAGTACATTTGGGTCAGCGACTTGGTTGTCGCTGTTGTAGAGCGCGTCTTTCCTCTTTCGGCCTGTCATGGAGACGGGCTGTTCCTTGATTTCCACTTGCTGCCGGAGCTGTGCAATATCCTGATCTATTTCCTCGGAGCTACGTAGAGTTCTTCGACGTTTTGGTGCAGGATCCTTTGCTGGAGAATAAGGCAATCGCTTTCTTGTGTTAGTTTGCAGGGAGTTACGCTGCCCAAGCTCGACTCGATGATGGCGCTCCTTAGTGCTCTTTGCCCGCGCTCCTCTGGAACGGCTTTCATGATGTTGCTCCAGCGTGTCACCCTCGTCTTTTCCTCGGGCCTTAAATTTTCTCCTGTCTCTCGCAATCTTCCCACAGGAGCGATCAAGAGATGGACGCTCAAATCGAAAATCGCTAGGGTCTGACTGTGGTGATTCAGGAGCATCTGCGTCTTGCGAACGCGATCCTGTTGTTTCATAAGCCGGAAATTGATGATCATCTAGGTCGCTGCTTCCAAAGCTACTGATCCTTTGACTCTTTTTATCGTTGTCGCTTTGTTGATGATGGCTTCTTTGTAAGCGTCTCTTCGGCCCCGGGGAAGGAGAAGACCGTGCATTGACACTCTTTGCACTCGAATCTTCTTGCAGATCCCGCTGCAGTGTCTCTTCAAACTTACTCATACGCCGTGCCAGTCTATCATTTGTGAATGTATCGTACTTATCGAATAGCTTCAAGGGGCTGCCAGAAGATCTAGGCCTCTCATAACTGCCAGCGCTATCATTCTTTTGGTGGCTAGGAGTCTTTGGTGGTGAAGAGGGCGTGCTCGATTTGGTTTGAGAAAACATCTCAGGCAGTTTAGGAGACGGTACCACATCGTGGGTGATGGACGTCTGAGATTTCATAATTGGTCCATCCAAGTCTTGCAATAGTGATGGGCTCAGTGGACGTCTTTGAAACGATCCATCATTGGAGTAACCTCCTCTGTGTATGCTGACGAAGCCTCCGTTGGCAGCGTATGCATCTGTGCCCATGGACAGATCATCCGGCAGAGATTGACTCGTAAGCTCGTCCAATTGTCCTAGGCAGGGTGACCTATCAGAGAGCCGAGAATCCGCGTAATCGATCTCGTGGTCACTCGAGCGAGAGCTGGGTATGTTTTGCTGCTGCGTACGTAGCTTGTCCATCTGCGACCTTAGCCGCCGCATAGACATATCGATCGCGGCGTATTCGACACGTCCATCCACGGTATTGTGTCGAGAGACATAGAAAGGGCTGATGTTCTCATCACGGGCCTTCTCCGAAACACTGGAGATTTTGCTATCATTCGTACCATTTGATGCAGACTGAAGACTTGATCCGTCATACGCTCCCAGTTGAGGAGGAGTAGGAGCAGTAGGTAACATGGGTGATCTGCCCATAATTGCATCTGGCGATGGTATTGGACCGGAAGTTCTAATGTTGGCACTGGAAACCCTTTCCGTCCTTTTTCCAATCGTTGAAGGAAGCTCAATCTCCTGTGGAGCCATGTATCTTGAATCTTCTTTTCCTGAAAGCTCTGACCGGGGCGACAGAATCAATTTGGGCTTCTTGGGGTCGCCATCAGGAGTGTTTGGACCTTGGCGTGTAAGTGCAGGATATGGAGGAGGGCTTGACGGAAAGTCTTGTATCTTCGAGGGCTTCTTCTTCATCGCAGGTTTCGACTTTTGCTTTGAACCAATCGTGGGTGGTTTGAACACACTCTCCAAACCAATGGGACTGAACAGGTCTCCCTTTCCCAGATTTTCCTTGAGTACCCTCCTCTTCCAATCCGGTGTAGCCTGCCCATCGATATTCTTTGCCGGTGAGGCTTTTATTTGAACGGTATCTTGCGGCACCGTTGGCGTCGATTCTGCAGAGACCTGCCGCCCGAGTGCCTTTCTTGACGCACTTCCTGGGCCCTGCAACTTGACTTGTCCATTGGGCAACCGGTTGCGCGAGGCGTTGAGGTTGGACGACGTCTTCTCCCTCAGCGCAGTCTCACTGCTGTTGGCTCTTCGCAGCGATGAGTCCAGTCCGTCCTCTTTCCTACCAGTTATTGACAGGTTCGACGCCGAGCGAGGTTTGTAGCGGGGTATGCGGCTTTGCGAGCCATTGCTATTTGGACTTGATGCATCCCTCAAAGTTGAAGTCTGCTTGCTTGAGGTTGAGCGAGGAGAGGCAGGTTGCGACACCCAGTCTTCAGACAACGAGTCTAGCCATTGATCCATGGTGTCGGCGCCGCTCGAGAGTTCGCTTCGTGTCACCAACTGTCGTCGCACTCTTGTAGGCCGAAAGCCTGAAGTTAAGATATCAGATAATCATAATCTAAACATAATGCCAATGCTGCTGTTGTTAGTTGGTCTCCGTGGCGGTCGACGTTCGTTTGCCATTGCCCTGCCCATGACACGCGGGGCAAATTATTGATCGCGCTTGATTGTATCGCAATGATCCAAAAACGGACTAGCGCAAAAACGTTGGCACGACGACCATTTTCGAGTCTACACTCTACACAGATTTTTCTCCATTCATAACATTACAACGTCTTAAGATACACTGGTACAGTCTTGGTGTTTCTTTGTTTTAGAGCCGGCAGACAATGTATTGTTAATGCGGCCATTTCATTTGTGCGCGATGTTTGCGGCTGTCTTGTCGCGAAGATGACTCAATCTCAAAAACCAGATATGCTATGAATACAGCTACCTCCATTCCATCCTGGTTCAATCTGCAGAAGCCCTTCCTCTTCGTAACTTCAACACCGAGGTCTACCGCTTATCTTGCACTATCGAAAGCACTTTCTCCTACCCTTACTCTACTATCCATTGCCTATCGCCATAGCAAAGCTTCCTCTCACCATCATGCCACGCACCCTCATCCCAATAACTCAAGACACTAACACTGACTGGTCTGGCATCATCCTCCCCTCTCAAACAGCCTGCAACCTTTTCCCATCTTGCATCGTTCGGCTCATCATTCAAAATTCCACCACCAAATGCAGCGAAGCTATCTACTTCGAAATCACCAAAATCAAGGATGGCACTTTCTGGGGGAAAGCTCAAGGCACGTACCGACTGTCGGACTGGATTGGATTGAAGGATGGCCAGCAGATGACGTTTAGGAAGGAACATATCAATGAGATACCCATAGATTGGCAGCCGAAAGCGTTTCAAAAAGCGGTGAGAGGTTTGGTGGCGCAGGCAAAAGGGAGAGGAAAAGGATATGGGATTACGGGGTGTAGGGGAGCTGCCGTGGTTTAAGGGGAGAGAACGACTGAGCTTGGTGACGGCTGTGTCTTGAGTGTGCTCCCACCTTGTCCTAAAGGGATTTAGTATCAATGGCTGCACAGGTGACGAAGGTTCGATGCTGAACGAATTCATAACATCACCGAGAACAGGCCCACATAGCTTATACTGATGGCTAAGAACTGGGAGCCAGACGCTTGTCTTCCTGATGAATGCACTTTGCGCTATATGAGTCCAAAAGGTAGCGCAAGCACCTTGTGGCTGTCAACGCGAAGTACCCACCTTGTTCAGTGATCCGGGCAACTTGGAAGCCTTATTCACTACCAATCTCGCGGACGAGTAATCGTCAAGAGCTTTGCTTGCCGGCAATTAATGAAATCCCCATCTTTCCTCTTCTTTGTAGAACGTGTCGACAAAACTTCAGATAATCGATTCCTAGGCAGATTTTGCAGGTGTGACTCGGGCCAACCCCCCCTCAACCCCCAGAGGAAAAAAAAAAAAAAAAAAAAAAAAAAAAAAAAAAAAAAAAAAAAGGTGGTTGGTGAAAAAAAAAATTTCAAAAAGGGAATTAAAAAAAAAAAAAAAAACAAAGGGGGCCCCCCCCCCCTTTTCTAAAAAAACCCAAAAAAAAAAAACAAAAAAAAAAAAAAAAAAAAAAAAAAAAAAAAAAAAAAAAAAAAAAAAAAAAAAAAAAAAAAAAAAATTAATCTTGGGAAAGGAAAGAAAAAAAAAAAAAAAAAAAAAAAAAAAAAAAAAAAAACTTTTACCAATCTTTTTTTCCCCTTAAAAAAAACTTAAAAAAAACCAAAAAAAAAAAAAAAAAAAAACAAAACCCCCAAAAAAAAAAACCAAAAATTTTATAAATTTTCTCTTCAAAAACTCCCCCCCCCCCCTTTTTTTTTTTTGGGAGGGAGAAAAAAAAAAAATAAAAAAAAAAAAAAAAAAAAAAAAAAAAAAAAAAAAAAAAAAAAAAAAAAAAAAATATTTTTTTTTTTTGTATTTTTTTAAAATTAAAAAAAAAAAAAAAAGGTCCACCGTGTACATTGGCATTGGCATCTAGCAATAGCTCAACTACCTAAGTGTTGTTTGCAGGCGAAAAGGCTGCGCCATGAATTGCTGGAACACCGTCTTCGTCCTGAACATTTGGCGCAGTTCCAGTCAAGAGCACTAGAATGACGAAGTTGCTGTGCCCGTGGTTCGCTGGTATTATTGACAGCAATTCAGTGTTTAGATTGGGCTTCGCTTTGAGCGCTATCTCCATAGAAAGCCGAAAGCCTTTCATGTCACGCTGGCTGTATAGAGCGGAAATGAGGCAGAAACCTATGCGTTCCAGGTCAGCTCCACGTTCGATGAGCAGCTTGGCGCATTGCAGCCTGCCCCATCGAAGTGCAAAATTAAGTGGGTTTCCGGTTTGTCATCTCCGTTAGGATCTGCGCCTGCGTCGAGGAGTGTGATCATCAGGTCAATGTTCCCTTGGAGAATTGGTCCGTACAGAATCGCCGCATCAATCCCATGTCTGGCTGCACTGACATCGGCGCCCGCGTCCAGCAAACTTTGAACAAGCCTTGTGTGCACCGCGGACGAAAGTCTGAGTGCCGCTTGGATGAATTGGTGCTCAAATTGTTAGCCGCTGGTAAGGATATCAACAGCGCAGGTCCGGGAGGGACTTGCTTGGTCGCCGCTGCCTTCTCCGGTTACGAAACAATCGTGCGGCTGCTTTTAGACAAATGCGCGGATGTGAACGCGGTGGTGCTGCAGACCAAGGATGGACATGAAGAATATTACTCGCCTACTGCCATCATGTGCGCCGTCGAGACGAGATGCGAGGATATAGTCAATATCCTGCTAGTAGACGGCGCTGATGGGAACATCTGCCGCACACAACGATCCAAACCAGTTCCGCGTAACGCCATTATTATACCATTGGAAGCGGTACTAACAGAGAGTCACAATAGAGGGGTGACCCAGCTTCAAACGCTGTCTCGAGAGTACCAACTCCGATGTCAAATGTGACGTCACGGAACAAGAAATCGCCAAAAGAACTCAACGGTCTCAATCTTCTCAACGCCGAGCCGGGTTCCACGCAGCCTGGTGATATCTCTCAGAAGTGCTGGACGAGTGAGCACCTTAAGACACTCGCTGTACAGAGGCGTTGAACGATTTGTTTGAGCATCTTGAAGATGATCGGACCACAATGGAGCGGCATAGCGAGCAAAAGCCGATTTATCGAAGAGTGGGTCCTGATGCAAGTCTTCTTGCCCACACCAAAGAAGGTGTTTTAGGCACAATTTCGCTAAAAGCTCATGCGCATAACGTTCGTTAAGAGCGAATCTCGAAGCCTGAGCCGGAGCACTACGATCCAACAATAGATACTCTTTTACGGAGGAATGTGACAATCTGAGCTTCTTCGAGTGAAATTTCCCTCCGCAACGCTCGTTTCTCCAGCATGACTCGGTCGTGGAGACCAATCCAGAGCAGATAGTAAGAACGTCACGGGGCTCTTGAAGCTGGCTCTCAATGTCGCAGTAGGGTTTTCCTTTAATGACAATTGCAACAGTCTCGGCATCTTCTTCAATTGTGACTGGACCAAACGCACGTATCAGGTAGGACAGTATCCTGCCAGCGTCTTCGACGTGTTCTTTAGGCACTTTGGTCATTATACGAGCATAAGTCTCATCCAATGTCTTAGGAAGGCTCCGTGAAGCTTTTCGGAGAAGACCAAGTCTCATGCAAACTCGAATGGCATCAAGCTGGCACACTCCCCATCGAAACATTCCATTTGCACCGTTCAACAGAGCAATCTGAATCTCCTTTTGGGTCTCCTCCGACCGTTCCAACAGCTTGAAATCATGTTGCAGCTGATACGGAACGTATGTAAGGATGTCTCCATCAACGACGCTTTCTTCCAACGGAATTATGTCCGTTGCCAGAGAGTACAAGACGTCTTCAATCTCAGTCTCTGGTCGGCTAGTACCGGAGAAGTGAAGGTTTTTTGATTCCAGCTTCGCATGTCTCTCAGATCTTCCAAGAGGCTTGCAGTTTCTTGGCACTCGTCGAGAGCATCGACGACTATGTATACTGAGGCCGCACTTTCGTCGATAATACGTCGAAGCACATCACAAGTGTCTTGTATAGTTGGCCTACTGCTTCCACTATCGCACGCAATGTAAAGCTCCTCAACAATTGTGGACACTTAAGGATCTTGGCTGAAAAGCTGGACTACCAATGAGTTCAGAAAGTTTTGAAATAGTGGCTTTTCTTTTTCCTGGAAGTCGAAGTAGAAATACGCAACCGTTTCGTTGCTATTGCTATCATCGAGCAGAGAACAAACCACAATAGAGCCCAGGATAGTCTTTCCGCAACTTGCTTTACCATCCAGCCAAAGGAAAGAATGGGGTGCACCTTTCCAGCTGAGGAAGATAGGGCTTTCCAAAAGCCAGGTTCCAGTGTCTTGCTGCCGCTTAGTCTGCGCAGTATTCAGGTTCGAAGATGAATTTGGAGCTGAGAACCAGCTAGCCAGGCGTGAATTCAGGTCTTTGGTTGCAGCCGCGTGCAGTGAATTGACAACGTCGAACATGTCTTCGCGACTGTCGAGCCTCAAGACCCTGGGCTTGTATCAGTGTATTATAACTTGATTCTCAATGGATCAAGATGACAAGACTAGTGGACCGACAATGCTAGAGTAAAAGTTACAAATGATCGCTAGCGAAGGCAGTATCCAACAAGGACTTGAGTTTTCTCAGCCGCCTGACGACTTCTTTGATTTCGTATTTTTCGAAAGGCCACTTGAGAGACCTTTTGACCCTCGATTGATCTTTGGTGAGCTTCGTCTCAAATTCCAGCGTTTCATGGTAGCAGAGAGAGAGAGCAGGGTACAATGATAAAATTAGTAGTCAATTGAGTGATGGCAACCGGACTTGCAGTGATGCTTAGTGGTTCCATGGCTTAAGGCTTGTGAATTTGACTCCGGCAGATTTGACAAATCTACCATACGAGGTGGGCATGCAAGATGCCGTCCCATGGCCTCCTCTCGCTCAAGCTCTGGCTCGTCTCGAGGTTCCCCAACCCAACCCATTGCTAGATCAGGGTAAGGAGGCGTTGGCTGGTTTGGCAATCTTTTCAGATATCTAGGGCGCGCACCTGCATGAGAGCCCCGACTTACCCCTCTGCTCTACCCAAAGTCGAAAGGGTGTGAGGTAGAGCGACAAGGCCGTCACTGTGGCGGGCAAGCAACTTTCTACAACTCGAGCAAGAGTATCTCTTTACATCAACTCACGAACGCAATCGGAAACACGAAAATATGTTATGGAGAGCATGGGGAGAGGGGTCGTAGCCGACTCAATGCTATGCCAAGACGGCGATAAGGTGGATCATCGGGCTTTAGGGCTTGCGCGTGCCAAATATCCGTGGCCATTCCAAGCTGCCAACAGTGAACAACTCCGAAACGCGAATTTGCCCGCCTGCGCAATCCTTCAGTCTCCAGAAGGGTTTGTGGTGACAGATATCTGTTTCTCTTTCAACAAGCATTCATATGAATCAGATGCATCGTTTCCTGAAGGCCTCGTCCTGATGCTGTCGCTGTGCGGAGAAGATGCAAGGAGAGAAGGTGCGGCATCCTTCCCATCTTATGACGAAAGTCCTGTCTGCACCCTCGTCATCGTCACCGACAAGTATGACTTCTAGGTCTGGGTCGCAAGCATTCTCAACCTTCTTCTGATTTCATGAAAAGTGCGTTGATGCTATCATCCACCCACATACATACATATGGCTGGCTCCGGTCATGACAAGACCCTGGAGCGGACCTCCTCCCAGATGTCTACAGCTTCACGAGGGTCCGGCACTGTCAGAGTACGCTCACGAAATCAATCTCTAGTCACACCAACATCAGCCAAAACACTTGAGTCATTCCCTTCGCTGTCCCCAGAAATCTCGCCCAGCGCTTTGAAGCAAGACAAGCAGCTTGTTGCCAGCCCGAAGCTCAAGTCCCCAGATAAAATCCCTCGCAGGCCGTCCAAGACGAACCCATCTATCGTTGAGTCTCTCGTCACAAGCACTCCATCTTTTCGAGGCCGCTCCGCGCTTTTCGAAGACTCACCAAAAAACCCTCCCAATGAGTTCCCTGGCGCTCTTCACCACGCCAGCGATGATCACGTACGCAATCTTATCAAAAAGAACGGTGCGGTCGCGTTGGTTAGACAGCTCGCAGAGGACTTGGCGGCGCGGGATGCTGAAATGACAACACTCAGACGGCGGGCAGAAGAGCGGGAAAGGGAACTCAAGAAGATGCTGAGGGAGGTGGAGGTGTCCAATCTGGATATTGAAACCAGGCTTCATCGTCTCGACAAATGGGCTGAAAATGAAATAAAACTACAAGATCCACCTTCGAGAGCAGATGGGAAGAAGTCAGGGCGAATGAGCGGAAAGGATAGGATGCCTGGTGTCGCGAATGGCATCGATGAAATGATGGGAGAGGCCATGCAAGATCATCTGGGCCCCAATACTGAGTTGGACGAGGGATATTTAGACTCGCTGGACGAGGTTGATAGGCAAGCTACGCTGAAAGCCCGAAGCGTGTTTTCAAAAGAGTCGGATGGGCGATCCACAGTATCGAGTATGGACTCAGGTCGGCCAAACAGTACTCTACGAGGGTGGAAGGACTATCTCTGGAGCGCAAATGCTACAAGCCGCAAGACGAGTCGAGCGAGCAGCATCATAAGCGACTCCAACGGGGACGGGGAAGACACTACGCGAGCTCGGGGCCTCAGCGGAAGCAACGCTCGCAGGAAAGGTCTGGATGATGATCTTTTCCAGCCGCTTGCTCGTGCTTCAACAACCCAAAGTTCTGACACCAAACAATCACGTAAGTCGTCAACATCCGTTGCGTCCTGGACCATGAAACTTTTCGCTGGGAATACTCAGGCAGGCCAAGGCACAATAAGAGGAAGATCGGCTACTACTGGTGATGGGCAACCCAAGAATGCAAGAACGGCATCGACCACCTCAGGTCCAGCACCTACGTCAGCCAAAGCAGCGTTGATGAAGGTTAACAGCATGGAACCCTCTGCTCAGTCCTCTCGAAATACAGTGCGACCCCTTACACTTGCGCAAGGCGGTACCATAAAAGTCTCTTCGCAGCCCTCGATCTCTCAGACGCCTGTGAGTCTCAACGTTGTCGATGCTGCCACAAATCTTGGTCCTGTCGAAATGGACACTATCCACCCGCCCGACTCAAAGCCTCCCACGCTAACACAATTCAACAACTACAAAGACACCGCGGACCTTCTTACCGACAGGTTCGGGTTCATCTACGACCAGCGTCGTAGGAAGAGAGAGGCGGAGTCTACCCGTACTCACGCTAGAGGGAAATCGAATGCTAGCGCGAACGTGGAGCTACTCAGCGGCACATTGGAATCTCTGAAGAATAAAGACCCCGATCAAATGTCTCAAAGGTCAAAGGCGAACTCTGTGCAGCGACCAGACACTCCAGCGTCCGTAGATGATAAGACGGATGAGAAGCCAACCAAGCGTTGGCAGGATTATCTCAAAGTTGCGACGTTCCCAACCGAGCTGCTTTCTCATACTCCATCCGCAAAGCCCGCCACAAAGGTCATAAGCGCCGACAGCCCTGGTACTCTGAAACGGTCGCCAACTGTTGGCGATGCGCGAGGCTCGTTACCGTCCACGAGCTTCAACCCGGAACCAGAGATGTCACCTGTCACGGCAGGAAACGCCGAAATGTCCAAGATACTCCTCGAATCTTCGAATGCCCTAGCCACGTCTACCTCCTCCGAAGGTGAACCTGTCAAGCTCCTACTGGCGCAACTCACAGAGCTCCATGACAGTCTGCAGCGCGAGAGGACTGTGAAATGGAATGGATTCTTACGGAAGGTCAGGGCTGAGCGAAAAAAGGAAGGAGAGTCAGCAACAGTCTCCGATTCTCGTTTCAAACAAGCCATTATGCCAGAAATGCTCCTTACAGATGGTGAATTGATCGGAGTCGCAGGCCTAGGAAACAAGGGCAAAGTCGGACGTGCCAAATGGAAGGAATTCAGACAGCTCGTTCTGGCCGGTATCCCAGTCGCGTACCGCTCAAAGATTTGGGCCGAATGCAGCGGTGCCACAGCTCTCCGTGTCCCTGGCCACTATGACGATCTCGTCGCAAGCGAGACTGACGACCCTGTCATTGTCTCCCAGATCCAAATGGACATCCACCGCACCCTAACCGATAACGTATTCTTCCGCAAAGGTCCCGGTGTCACCAAGCTCAACGAAGTCCTCCTTGCCTACTCCCGGCGCAACCCGCAGGTCGGCTACTGCCAAGGTATGAATCTGATTACCGCCTCCCTGCTGCTTGTCATGCCGACCGCCGAAGACGCTTTTTGGTTGCTCACAACGATCATTGAGAATGTTCTTCCCCAACACTACTACGATCATTCACTCCTAGCCTCCCGCGCAGACCAGCAAGTCCTGCGCCAATACGTTGCTGAAGTCCTACCCAAGCTCTCTGCACATTTGGATGAATTAGGAATCGAACTGGAAGCGCTAACCTTCCAATGGTTCCTCTCAGTCTTCACTGACTGTCTCTCCGCCGAAGCGCTTTTCCGTGTCTGGGATGTCATCTTTTGCTTCAATGACGGCAGCACCTTTCTCTTCCAAATTGCTCTAGCCTTGCTCAAGTTGAATGAACCCCAGCTACTAGAATGCGACAGCGCCGCCAGAGTCTACGGCTACATTGGTAACGAGATGACAGATCATGCGATCAGTATTGATGGGCTTATTGGAGCTAGTGAGGCGTTGAAGAAGGTAGTCCAGAGGAGTGAAGTAGAGGAGAGGCGATATAAGGCTGTGGAAGAGGAGAGGGATAGGGAGAAGGGGAGGACGAGGGGAAGCAGTGGTGCTAGTGAGGCGGTCAGCAGTGGGACCAGTGGAGGACAGCTGAGTTTCCAGGAGCCGAGGCCTTTTTTCGAAGGGGAGGAAACGATCAAATGATGAATCATTCGCCCCTTTCTTTTCTATTGGCTACAATGATACCCACGGCATACAGCGATCAATTGAGCAAATTTCCTCTTGGTGTGCAGAAATGATGCCATTATATTGACATGGCAACACATTGAAACGAGCAGTCACCAAGTTGCAGCAACTTTGAAACTTTCTGACCTCCGCGCCGGAGAAGCTTGGCTTTCTTCCATGTATGGGACGAATGATTGAAGATCCTACCGAAAGTTCTTTACTTCGACAGATTTTCATTTCTTCCCTTCTGGAACCGAAAGGCAGCTTAGGCAGGCTGTCCAGATAAGTTGCAGTCGGGGGCGCCAAAACCACGGCTTCTCATGTCAATTTTGGGGATTGACCCAAGGGCATTTGTTCTTCATGGTCAGAAATGGCCTTGGGAAGGGTGTTGAATGGCTTAGAAACTTTTTGGCTGATGTTGTTGAAGTTTGAGGATTTGTACCTGGTTCGTCTGCCACCTTTTCTAAGACTGTCCCATCAAGGGTCACTGTGGGGCGTCAAGAACCGCTGTTTCTCACGTCGATTCATGGCGTTGTTCGACTGCCACTTTTCCGGAGTTAACAGCTTGCCTGGCCGTAGATTCCTAGCGCCTTGGCACTCAGGGCTTCCCCTTCTGCCTCGGTCCAACATCCCCGCATCAACTGAAATGTCGTCCGACAAGGACCAACAGCTCCTCAACGCCCTCAAGAACCCCAGCATGACATCGGTCTCCAAAACTCGTCTCCAAGCCCTTAGCGAACAGCTCGTCGTCAAGCCCGCCGACCCTGGCACGTTCGAGGACATACCCAGAATACGCCGCATAGCGGGAGACTCTGCCGGACCGTATGGCCCCCCTCCCTGCCCTTCCTCCTCGCCAATTGATGATTGAGGGACAAAAGCTGATCTAGACGTGGATGGGCAGGAGAGTGAAGGACAAAGTCGTTATCATAACCGGCACCAACTCCCCCCTCGGCATCGGCCGCGCCTCCGCCCACCAATTCGCCCACAATGGGGCCCGCGCCATCTACATATGCGATTTTAGCGACCAACACCTCTCCGTGCACGTCCGAGAACTACAATCGCTGTATCCGGCGGTCGAAGTGCACGCGCGGCAATTCGACGCCGGGGACGAAGCCGCTGTAGCAGCCGTCGTGGACGAATGCCTCTCTCGATATGGACGGCTGGACATATTCTTCGCGAACGCGGGCGCCGTCGGGACGAACAAGCATTTTGGCGAAGTGGGAGGGGAGGAGTTTATGAAGACGATGCGGACGAATGTGCTGAGCGTGTTCGTGGCGATCAAGTACGCGGCGGCGGCTATGATGCGGACGACGACGTCGGAGGAGGGGGAGGGGGGTAAGAAGAAGTTCCCGTGCGGGAGTATCATCGCCACGAGTTCGGTGGCCGGGTTGAGGAGCAACGCCGGCTCGACGGACTATTCGGCCTCCAAGGCTGCCGTCAGGAGCTTGGTGCAGACGACGGCGTATCAGCTGAGCGGGACGGGGATCCGAGTCAACGCGATTATGCCGGGGTTGATCGAGACGGGGATGACGGCGCCGCTGTTCACGATGGCGAGGGCGAGAGGGACGGAGGGCAAGGTGGGACAGTTGAATCCGTTGAGGAGGGGAGCGGTTGCGGATGAGGTTGCCAGAGTGGCGCTGTTTCTGGGCAGTGACGAGGCGAGTTATGTTAATGGGCAGGGGTGGGCGGTGGATGGCGGGCTGAGTGCCGGTCATCCCGTTGTGCCTGGGAAGTTGGCGTAAGGGTGATGATATGGAGGGGTTCTCTTTGAGCTGGAGAAGGCGGTTTGAGGGGTGGGGTTGAGCGTCGGAGGCCGTGGAGGAATGGCGACATGGCGCTGAGGATAGGGTTGAGGAGCTGGGCATAGGGACAACAGGCTGTCTACGGGGATGAAGTCGGTGTACCCAAGCGAGGAGGTGAGTCCCGAGAGAGACTGTCAGGGACCGGCACAGGCAAAAAGGTATATAATAGATTCAGATTCAAATCGTCTGTATTCTGAATACTCAAAGGTCATAAACCTTGACGGGGTATCTCTGCGGCAAATGAAGCAACAACAGCACGAGAGTGGTTGGGTCGTCCAGCATTACAGCGAGCCCGCGATCCCTTTCAAATCCTTCCCCAAGACTTCTAGCAGACGACCCTGATCCACCTCGCCATCCTCTAGATCATGTGCCTTTCTCTCTTCAAATTTCCCATCAAATCCACCAACGGAGGTTTTCTCGCCTGCTATTTCTTCAATCAACTCCTTCTTCGCCGAAGCAAAGAAATCCTCTTCGCTCACCAATCCCTCGGGTAATGTGCCATCTGGCTGGCTGCGCAATACATATATTGTTGGGAATTCGAGTACAAGTCTGTTGGTCAGTGAGGTTGCTAGTTTGGCGTCCGGGGGAAGTGGTATTACGACTGGATGTCGTGAGGGTAGAGATGGATGGTGGAGGTAGAAGTTGAAATCCACCTTCGGCGCTGGTTCTGTCACCGGCGAAGCGTCGGACGACGCGGGTATAGATGCTGAGTTTTGGATGGCTCCTGAATCGCCAGTGTCTTTGGCAACAGCCATGTTCGGGTTCTCTCCCTCAGCGTTGCGGTTCACACGAGCTTCATCCTCCTCACGTTTTCGCTTGCCCACAGGAGCCGTCGTAGTGGACCCACTTGGTTGTTCTCCTACGGTAGAGTCATGGGCTGGCACGCTCGATGATACGAATGTAGCCGACGCTGCGAGGTCTTTGTATTTATGATCAGGTTTCCGTCTTTTCTTTGGGTGACTCCTGTCTAGATATCTCAGATGGTCGTCGTAAGCAGCAGATATGCTTTGCGTCTCCCACAATTTATCCATTGTCTTGTTGCCGTCAGGGTGTACCCATTCCACGGTCCACTGAAGAGTACGATTCCTATCCGGCACTCGAGTCAGTACAGCCGTTCCGCAACACTGAACCCTCTTACTTTTTACTGCAGATCGTCGCATTCCGCTTGCTCCTCGTCATGCCCTTCGGTGCTTTCGCAACAACAACCCCACACCTCTCAATCGCAGCATTGAACTGTGTTTCTCCCTTCGCCGGTTGCTTACCCCTCCTCCTTTCCTCCTCCAGCATGAACCCCCTCGATATAGCATTCTTTTCAGCATGATCAAGTTCCCGCTCGATACTCGTAAGATAGTTGTAATCGTGGTCGATCCCCTTTGGTGTTGCGAGGTCCGCCCGCTTCATGTACTTTGTCGGGTCCCTGACGCCGTTACATTGGGCCCATTGCTTGTGGCGTTTGATGCAGGGAAGGGAGCAGGTGAGGGTGGAGCAGCGGGGACAGCGGTACTTGTGGGGGTGGACGTGGCTTGAAAAGGTGTATCGTCAGCGGAGGATGTCTTTTGAAATGAGAAATTAAAACAAGGGGAAAAAGGCAAATCAATATGTTATTGGAGTGGTCTGTCAAGTCACAAAAGTCTCTCACAAATGGATTATCGATAAGATTAACGTATAGATCGTGCGCGGGAGGCTTTTTTAGTTTGACGGGGGACTATCGGAGGGGGACTGTCCGAACTCCGAAGATAAGTTGGTAACACTACCCCCCCCTCCTCAATAGCCATGGCCCCCATGGCTGGTAGACCGGAGATGCACACTGATCCTAACACTATAGTAACTGACAAAATCGTACCTCAAGGAAAGGAAAAATAAAAAAAAAAACCCCCCTTTTTTTGGGGGGGGAAAAAAAAAAAAAAAGGGGGATAAAAATAAAAAAAAAACAAAAATTGGGGGAAAAAAAAAAAATATTTTCTCATAAAAAAAACCCTTTTTTTTTTTTAAAAGATACGGTTCCAAACAAATATCAGATGGACGCTTCGGCTATATGATAGTATCTTATATGTCAATTAATTCGGTACCTAACATTACTTTCATCGCCTCGTCATGGCTAAGCAGCGTTCTCCAGATGGGAGGCTGGTCTATCTCCACTGCTCATCAATCTTCAGCGGGGCAAACGCGCAAGTCCGAAGGGTCAAGAAGATCTCTCAGCTTCTTGAGAAGCATAAGGCATCCATCAAAATCCTCACAAAGGAGTTTACCTTGCCAGCCGTTGCTGCAATTGCGAAAGAGTTGCTAGAAGAGCAGATTTTCGAATCCTTACCCCGGGCAAAGCTCCGTTACCCAGAGTTGTTCCAGCCGTCAGAGACGCAAGAGGCCGAGAGAGCGGCCTCGGAGGCAGAAGTCATCCGGATCGAGGCCGAGGCAGCACAAGACATAGTGTTGACATCCGATGACGAGGGAGGAGACGAGTGCCCGGACTTTGAGCAAGGCGAACAGCAGGCTGAGCCTGAGGGAACATTAGAAGACAAAGTCGAGGCTGGGGACAATGTTCAAATCAACGCTGTCAGACTGTGGCAAGTATAAACGCTCGAGACAGGACAGTCACGTAGCTAATCTTCTTGACAGCCAACAATCGACAACCCAAGCACACCACGCGCTGTCTATCCCCAGGCTTCACCCTGTCTATTTGCCATTCAAAACGCAACATAGAATCCTAGTCCCAGTCCAATCTTTGCTTGAGGAATGCTGTCTGGATTTCGGCAACACTTGGGTTCCAGATTTGATGGAGGCGCGGAAATGGGAAGAAGCAGAGTCCATTGAACTCACCGAATGGACCAAGAGATTTTTGAGATACGCCAAATTTCTACCGCCATCCGCTATCAAACCGGTTCCCGGTAAAAGTATCGCTGAAGTGCTCTTTGGAACAAGTACTCTTCGTCACTCAGCTGTTCATCGCCTTCCAACTAGCGCAGCCGGAATTTTGAACATGCTCAGTGCAGCTATCACCTTTGCAGAAGCTCTTAATGACTCCCAACGAGCGGAGAAGGTAGCGGGACTCAAAACGCAGCTACAAGCTAGCATAGAGGAAATTGTGCAGCATCAAAATCTGCTTCAACGCAAGCTCACAGATCAATTTGAAGATATTGCGCGTCGGAGAGCTGAACTTGACGAGCTGGAAAGATCTTCAATCGAGGAGATGCTGGCAGCGGACAAGAAGCAACGCACTGAGGTTGGCTCTGCCTTTGAAAGCTTCCTTGTTGGCTCCCAACAGGTCTCCAATCCTTGCAGCTGCAGTCATACATCCAGCCTTGATGGAGCGAAGGCGGACTCTAAGGCAGAAGAGAACAACGAGAGTAGCTGGATAGGTATGTTTCTATATGCTTTTTTCTTTCATATCAAGTCCCGCCTGTTCCTATATATATTGCTAACACTCCTCTAGAACACGACCAAAGTCCACTCTGCGAAGTGACACCTCGTCAAGGCGAAAAGTCGGAGAAAGATGACCAACCCCCTTGTCATGATAACAGTGGCGGCAATGTCGAAGGAGAACTGGAAATCTCGGAATTGACTCTTTCAAATTTAAGGTCTAAGGGGCAAAAGAAAAAAGGGAAGAAGGCTGCAGCATCTGGCTGGGATATTTCTGCAGCTGAGCAAGCACCTGTTCCTATGGATGAAGCTCCTGCTTCAGAAGAAGCGTCTCCCATCCCAGTACATGTCACTCACAATCTGGGATGGCCTAGATATGCAGCTTGGAATTTCGTCGCAACTAGTGGTGTTGCTGCAGAGCCGCATAATGTAGTAGAGGAGGCTCTCCCCACCGAAGCTTCCTCCACAGATGAGCCTTACATTATTGCGCCTGAGGAAGATCCATTGACGGAGGATACATTGCCTGCAGAAGAAGCATTCTCCGAAAAGGACCCAATTGGAAAGGAAAAAGTTGCTCCCCAGGTGACGCTGGAAGCTTCACAAGCCGAGCCAATCACCGAAGGCTTCGATAGCGCAAAGGAACATACGCTCGACCAACATGACAGAATTCCAAACGACTTAGAGGGTCCCTATGAACCAACGCCAAAGCCTGATATCGCTCCGAGGCATAGTGCTCTAGCTGAGAATGCTGAGTTCCTTATACCGCCTCCAAGGCCTGCTCTTTGTGCCGTGCGCGCTAAATCTAATTATCACTCACCTCTTCCCTCGGCGCCGGCGTCTACAGCGACTTCCGTCCTTGAGACTGCAGCCCCAGAGGCGCCAACGGGAGATGGCCATACCATCACGCTCGAAATTCTCAACGGCAGCAAGGTCCTCAGAGCTATCGTCTTTATTAGAGCTTGCACCCGGACGGCAATATTGAACGAAGCAAGAGCATACTACGTGAAATGGGCACAAGATGATCAAGTTCTTGGGACACAGCTGGCACAAGGATGTGATCTGGCCTTGATATCGTTAAACATGTACGGGTGCGACATGGACTTGTCGACATACAAGATTGAAAACCTGTCCTCTCTACTTGGGGCTGTTGAGAAAACGAGTATTCCGAGATTTACGCTCCGGATCTCTGAGAATTGAAAGGCATTAAGTCGAGCTGTTCTCCTAATCTTTGTAATCCGAGAATAGGCTCTGCATTTATGATAAGGGAAAGTCTTCGATTTTATGACGCATACCGTTACGATGGGCGCAAATCCATGCAAAATAGATATAATATAAGGGCCTAAAACAAGCCGTCGTTACCACGTTGGTTTCCTTACTGTACGGTTCGATAAATAGTCTCATGGAAAAATCTTATCGTCAACTTTGCATATAGCAAGGCGCGATTAAGAGCAGTATTCTGGGATAAGCTGACTGACCATGATTTGAGCCATGAAAATGAAAGATGACTTGTGCTGTCAGAGGTAAAGTTGTACGTCCACATGCAGAATCTGTAAATGGAAGAACAATAACAGAACTGGAAGCATTAGGTTTAGCCTGGCCAGGGGGAAAACAGGTGGTTCGATGGATACGGCGTGCCTGCAGATGCGCACACCGTATCGAAATTTAATCTTATCTATTAACTCTCTAATATTTGATTAGTATATAAAAGCTATAAAACCTTGAATTTATATGTGCAGCCAATCGTAAATTCGTTAGATCTACGGAGACGCTCTTTGATTAGACCGGCTGAGTTATCGCGGGTAAATAAATTAGCGTCCGTAATCATTAAAAAATCTCTTACTCTGCTTTTAACCCCTTAATAACTTTACTATCTTCTATTGAAATTTTTAGATTTTTTTTTTAAATTATAGCCCGCAACCTACGCTTTTTAATGCCTTAAGAATTTTAAAATTCGGTCTTATAATTATTAAAAGACAAGGCACTCAAATATCGCTCACCAAAGATCGTTCACCAAATTTACTCGATAGCCCTAATCAAAAAAATGATTATGAATTTAATTCATAGGCCTTTACTCGTTAATTAATAAATAAATAGGTATTAATTATATTTTCTTCATATCGAATTATCTATTCGGCTGACTCAGCAAATCCTCCCTAGTCCCGCGCCTAGACCGTTACCCACTCGCGGGTATATACGGTCGAAAACGAAATCACGAGATGGATTGGAAGAGACTAGAACGAACTTTGAGACTAGGGTTCGCAGATACCATACAGCACAAGTGCTCAGTAAAACATGCTGTACGACATGCTATTTGACCATTGACCGCACAGCGAGCGTCCACCCCCCCCCCCTTTCCACCCCAAGCACATAAACCTCACAGCCCATCCACCCCCACCCCCACCCCCACCGCCTCCCCTCCGGCACAAAAACATAATCATCAAAGTATCCACCGACGAGATCCACGCCCGTCCCCAACCCCCGCAACCGCCCCGTGGATCACCGCCCGGAACCCCACCGCCTCGAGCGAACTGTGGACCCTCGTACGTGATCATGCGGCGGCGGAACGACGCCTTCTCGGTCAGGCTGTGATGCTCGGCGGCGGGGAGAGCGGCGATGGGGGTCAGGCCTTTGGACTCGCGGAAGGTTATTTGGGCGGCGTGGGGTTGTGGGGGGGAAGGTTAGGAAGACGGAGGTGGAGGGGTGGAGGGTGGAGGGCGTTGAGGGATGTTTCGCCGGGAGCTGGGGCGTTGGGTGTCATGTTTGGGGGGGAGGGGGGGAGGATGTTACGTATGGGAGAGGATGCGGTCTGCTGGGAATGTATTTGCAGTATGCGCTAATGGGCAATGGCATGGTGGCCTGTGCGGATGAATTTCAGGCTGTGGAGCCGATCGATTGGTAGCTCAGAGCTGCTTCTTGAAGATGAGTACGAAGCTGTGCCACACGGTTTTGAGACATCAACGTTTCAAGCGCAGCCGGGTTCTCCACTTCTATGTACAGACAGAAATGTCAGGGGGAAAAGGATCTCGACTGGAGTCGAGGGAAACAGTTCGCTCCGAAACGCCTGATATCCTTCAAGACCTCAATGGCATCCTAGGTGAGAATCACAGAGTGCAATGCTGGTGCAAATGCTTCTGCAGTCGGCCGTCAACCCAATATTGCTGTCCTCCGCCGACTCCCGGGCTTAGTGGCGACAGCGCGTGGTTTTCTGACCGAACCATGACTTGCCGGGATAGAACACTAGTGAGTACTGCAACCGGCCCCAACCGCGATACAGATCGTCAAAGTTGATCGTGTATTGGTACGTCGTGATTTCCCCATCGGCTCCACCGATCCGGAAAACCGGAACCCTCCTGTAGTTGCGCCGCTCGTAAAGATCTCCAATCTTCCAGAGCAAGCCGGGGTAGTCGTGGGAAGTATAAGTGACGGTGGCTTGATCGGAGAGCTTCTCGTGGATTTGGTCCATGTGTCGCATGTCGAGGCTCGAGCACTTGGTGACGTAGCTGATGTTCAGATGGCGGATGTTCTTCCGACCGAAATGACCGATGTTCTGGAGCCATAATAGAATGGCGAGGAAGCAACCGCCGTGTTCAACGGCAAGCTCGAAGTGGTGGTACCCGTAGAAGATCATGAGGCCTTCAGCACGTGTCTGCTCACAGGCACGGAAGAGGCTGGAATTGACCATCAAGCCCTCAAATCTGCTGAAGCATTGGAGACTCTCTGTGTGTCCTTTGCCTGGCTGCTTGGAGCCTGGAAAATCGAGCACATCTTGTGAAGCGACCAATGTATAGATCTCATTGCGGATCTCAGGTGGGAGTTTCTGGAAAGGAAACGGACTATTGGCTAATCAGCGGCCGTCTTGAATCTGCAAGTAAAACCTGCTGAGCGGTGTACTCACTGATGAAGGTCGTGCGCAATTAGGCGCGAAGTCATCTTTGCTTTTGTGCCAGAGTAAGGAAGGCGGCGGAGAAGGAGCAAATGCTTGAGCTCAGCATTTTTTTGCACCATATAGTCATCTCCATGGACCCAAGGCATCTTGGACTGGAACGGCGAATCTAGTCAAGAACGTGATGCCTTCTCTGAAGAGATGCTCACGGGTTGTGAAGTTGTCCTTGAACCCACAACAAGGCAGATTTGGACAAAGGGTCTCGTCCACAGAAGATGGCAGCAACGAGGAAGGCGAGATGGGTGTCTTGAAGTGTTTTCAAGGCCTGAAGGTAGCTTGAGCACGCAGAAGAGTGAATTCGAACTGAACCGTGAACGGTGAAGTATGAGCGTTGACAAGTCACCATTGAAGAGTGAACGCTGAACAGTATGAAATGGAATTCAACCAAGTGTGAATGAGTTATTTGATTTGGGGTGTCAAATTGCGTGGGCTAACACCGAAGAGTGATATGAGATATCAAAATGACCCAAAGACAGCGAAGAGGGGTGAATGACTTGCGCGGGCTTGTACGTGGTATGGCGTCTACAGATAGTAACCGATGATGGGTTCATGGAAGTAATGAGACAGAAGAAGACTCGAAGTTCACATGTATTTGAGGATGTTCTGATGTTGTTCTTTTGGCTTCATCGTCATAATAGACTGATGACAAGAGAGTATGTCGAAAAATCAACGCAAGTAGACAGGGCATGCACCAGATGTAGTAGAACTCACGAGAATACTTCCAAGGATGTTGCTCTCCGTTCAGCTCACTTGCAATGCAGGGCAGCATAGAGCACGATGACCGGATATTTCATTGTGGTAGACGAGTAGCAGAGAATAAGAGCGTTAGGCTCATCTAATTCTCAGGAGCGAGAGGTTTGACCGTCGGTTTCATACTTCATTGAGGCTCGGGGGTAGGCAGCGAATTGGAAACATGTAGCTTTTCTGACAGCATCACGGTCAGTATCCCAAGGTGACTCAAGCACCATGACCGCTCGAGCCAATAGACCCTCAAAATGAGATTGTGCGATGGCCACATACTTCCCACGTTCAATGTATTGAATGAACGCGGGCGAAGCTAATCCTGGCCGCTGGCTGCTTCATTTTCTCCCCCCAAGTCATGGGTATCAAGCCCCTCACAGATTGGCTGTTGATTGAGAAAAGCTCATCTTCTCCTTATCTTCGACCTGTAGTGCAGGACGTGGTAAGTGCCACTACCACTGCCAGTTTGGCTGGTAACCGTGACCCCACTTATCGCCCAGGCTACAAGAGCACACGTGAATGTCGTGGCCACAAGACATACCAGAGTTTTAAGTGGTTTCCACGTGTGTATCCCTTAACACGTTTGAGCCCGCGCAAACGTTGCTGGAACGGGAAAAGACAGAAGGTTGTTGGCACAATTGCCAAGTTGATCAAAGTGAAAGGCCGGATGAGTGAAGAGTCCAGCCTGTTCGGATTACAGTTCAGAGGCAGCCCCTTATCCTCGCACCCTCGATGCTCGGAATTTGTGACGAAGAAAATGAGCAAATGGGCCGAAGGTTTTGGGTTGGTCTTGTTCCCGGCAGAAGCCTTCCCCGCTGCATGGGCCGTTTCAGCTGCGTCCATCAACCTGGGAGGCTGGCACATTTGATCAACTACCATTACTGGTGCCAAGCCACAGAAGATCCAAGTTATAAATTTACTATCAATGCTCCGGCCGCATGTTGGATGATGATCCACCTCGAGCCTTATGCTGATGAAGCCTTCAGTTGCAGTCGCGATCAAAGACCAGTGGAAAGAGGAGGGCTTGGAGAAAAAGTAGCTTACGTTAGACAGGGTACAAGTAGTAATGAATAATGATCATGACTCCTTCATAAAACGTACCAGAGACTCCGTCTTCTTTTTAACTTCCAAGTTCCACGATTAACTTCCGACAATGCATATCTAATTATCTATACTCTACTTTACTTTATTACATTATCTGGGAATCATCCCACCGCCCCTGACTTCGGCAGTGAATTTACAATCCTTGCAAGTGCAGTATCACATCCCCTTAAGCCCCACGTAACGGGTTAGCAAGCCTAAGGGAACGTGCAGAGGCCGGTGATGCCGCTGCAGAGCTAATGTCTTATTGGGTCATCCCCCTAAATTTGACCTCCATAGCATCCCTGCCCTGAGCCTGACTGGGCGTTCTTCTACAAAAGAGCCTTTCACCAATTCAAACCAACGAGGGGAAGCAGCTTCCCGTCACCACGATGCCCCTGTCCGTTTGGGCGACGACGTGGAAGAGTCCATC